TACCTCCGCGCCGGGGGTTTCCCTGCAGCCGGGGACGGGGCAGGGCCTGGCCCAAGGCGAGGAGGACCCAGGCGCTGTGCAGCGGGGTCCAGGGAGATCGCCCAGACACCGGGACAGTCGGACACACACACTGACTGGGACCCACAGATCCACACCCCCAGGGATGCGTACACAGACCGACCGACGGGCGTTCCAGGGTCCACCAAGTCACGTGCAGGCAGAGCCCAGAGGATGTACTCATGGACACAAGGCCACAGTCTCACAAATCCACACCATGGACAGGGGCACGAACACACACACTCACTCACTGATGGGGCTAACACACACACCCAGACGCAAATGCACAGACCCACTAACAGGGCCCCCCGGACAAGCAGACGGACACAATGGCAGGGCCACACACAGTTGCACAAACACCAACACTGATGATCACACCTGGGCCCAGGAACTGTGTTCACAAACAACCCTACCGAACAGGCACCCACACCACATACACGGTAGTGCAACCACAACAGACACAGGCGGAATGCTTGTCTGGAAACACAAACTTGCTGATAGGCACAGGGGACACACACACACACCCAGACACACACAGACACCTGTTACAGGGATACCTGGACACACAGCCAAATCCAAATCACACTCCAACAGGGACATACACAAATGCACTCACGCAATTTCACAGCTAACACATTAAAACTATCAGAAACTGACATTTGCCCCCCATGATGGCTCACATTTGTAATCCCAGTACTTTGGGAGGCCAAGGTGCACGGATCTCGCCTGAGGTCAGGAGTTCGAGACCAGCCTGACCAACATGGTGAAACCCCGTCTCTACTAAAAATACAAAATTAGCCGGGTGTGGTGACGCATGCCTGTAATCCCAGCTACTAGGGAGGCTGAGGCAGGAGAATTGCTTGAACCCGGGAGGCAGAGGTTGCAGTGAGTCGAGATCCTGCCACTGCACTCCGGCCTGGACAACAAGAGCAAACTCCATCTAAAAAAAAAAAAAAGAAAAGAAAAAAGAAAAAAGGAAGGAAACTGACATTCAGAGACACAGACCAAATCAGACATAGACATAGAAGAAACTGACCACCGACACATGTCATGAAGTCACACCTGCGACAGCTTCTTGCTAACTGGTCCACTGACTGCACACACACCGGAGCATGCACACCTGGCCACACTCACCACAAATCTGGCAGGGGACCCACGTCGCAGAAGAAGCCCTGGGCACCTGGCATGGACATGCCCGGGCAGACCCCACGCCAAATTTTATCCTGTCTCATAGTTTTCTATTCCCTTTCCTTTTTCAGTTTCTCATTGTTACTTCCTTCTCTGCTCTGGTTCAGGGAGTTTTGAGTTTTGTCCTTCCTTCTTCCAAAGCTGTGGACTCCTGTCTCCTCCTCTACACTTTCCATCCCTACCCGGTCTCACCCAATCACAATCGCCTCATCAGAGTGAGTCACCTTCCAGTGCCTAGCATGGGGCTGGCTGAGAAAAGATGTCAGACTTCTCAAACTTGACTGCCTCCAAGTACACACTCTTAGCTTCCCCAAGAAAAGCAGTTAATCTATATCTCACATGAAATTTCCCCATTTGAAACATTGGGAACGCCTCAGCTTTCCTCTCTCTTTCCCTTTCCCTGATTATTCATTCTCCCTTCCTTCTTCCTGGTGTTTTCCAAACTGTGGTTCATGAGTAAACCATGGATTATGACATATGACATCACTTACATGGATCTTACTTTTTTTTTTTTTTTT